CACCTTATAAAGGAAAACCACACATAAATTTCTAGCCCCTTACTCTGGTTTTTGAAAAATTCCTCACATGAGGATATGTTTTATTGATTTTAGGGAGAGAAAAAGGGGTAATGGGGAAAGAGAGACAGATGGATCTATCGGTCGCCTCCCATATGTGCCCTACCTGGGAATCAAACCCACAACCTTTTGATGTATGTGGATGACAGATGATACTCCAACCAATAGAGCCCCCTGGCCAGGTCTGCCTCCTCCACCCCCTGCCCCCTGTAGCATTCCTCAACATCTATGATATATTATAAACTTGCATACTAGGTCTGTTTTCTCCACTAGAAGTTCCATGAGGGTAGGAATTATTTTTATGACTTATTTATTGCTGCATCCCTAGTACCTAGAATAATTCCTGACATACATTAGGTATTCATTCAATAAATATTTGCTGATGCATTTTTCCTTTGCCTTAAAGTTAAGCAATTCAGTTGATAGTTATAAGGCTCTTTTACAGAAAACTAAGAAGCAGGATTACAAAACCCTCATGAGTTGGACTTTGGGACACTTCCAGCCTCTTTCACCATTACCCCACTTCACTTCAGGTGGTGGACTCATGAATCTGCCTTGTCTGAGCTCTGGCACTTGCCAGGTGCTATTACTGTGCCTAGAACTCCCTTTCTCTTCCACTAAATAAAATTTCCTCATTCTGGTATCAACTTCTATGGCATCACATTGATTAGTTCATCTTTTTACTTGTTTATGGTCTCCACATCATTCATTGATGAATCCCAGCACCTAGCACAGTGGCTGGCCCAGAGTAACCCTCAATACATGAAAAAACCGAGCTGAATTGAAATCGTACCCCATTCTGCACTGTCTTCTACTAAAGAAATATATTTTTTTAATTTTTGGGGAATGCTTTTAATGTATTTTTCCTCTAGAATGATGAAATGCATTTAAAGCTGGAGTGAAACCGGGGCAATGTGTTAAGAGGCAAAATTTCTCGAAAGAGGGTGATGAAAAATCATAGCTTATCTATGAGCTACCCTAGTGAGATCACAGCTTGGACACTGAGCTTAGTTTTATGCACTTTATGTTCTAGATAACTGGAGGATGATTGCAAAAGATGGCAGTAAGGAGGATTAAGTGTGATTATTTATGAGATATAGTTAAAAGAAGACAGCATGCATATGTTCACTAACTATAGGGAACAGACACATCTCTAAATATCTGATGAACAAATCCACCCACAGGCTGCATTTAACAAAGAACAACAAAAGGATAAATAAGATGAGAAAATAAAAGATGAGAGGCGGAAAATTTAGAAAATTTTCAGCGTATCATGAGATGGTGCTTACTGACAACCAGAATTCTCCAATAACAGCCAGAAACCTGAATGATTATTGGCTGAGAAATTTGTGCAGGAGGCTGGAGCATTGGAATACAGCTGAATCTCCTAACCTTTGTATACTTTGAATTGTAAAAATAATGCACCATTTTTCTTTTTTCTAATATAATATTTTCATATTAGATGTGACTTTTTCAGTTAAATGAATACCCCCAAGATTCTTGTCTGAAAGTCTGGATTATGACTGTAATCCACAGCAGAGATAAATTATGCAGAAGATTGGACTCTTTGACCTCTAAGGTCATTCTAGTTTTAAAATTCCGTTTCTTGTGTAGCACCTGAGTGCTTAACGAAGAGCTGTTGGGAGTGTTTGTGACTATAAAGCAGAAGAATATATGATCATCAGGCTTGCCACACGAGGATGGTCCCAAGCTTTGTGATAATAATGGGAAGTTATTGCTAGGTAGCTTCTGTCTGTTTAGTTTATGGCTTAGCTGAATGTTATGAGTGGTACAAATGTCACGTCCTCCTCCTGTTGTTTGTTCTTTGTGGCCATAGCATAGTCATTCATAGACCACATATTGTTGAATAAAACAAAAACAAAGTTCTTGCCTTCATGAAGCTTACATTTATTTGGAGAAGACAGGTGATAAACAGAAAGACAAATAAATGGTGAGTGTAATTTCAAGTAAAGCTATTTGCTATGAAGAAGTGCTATAATGGCATCATCCACAGAGTTCTTTCACAAAACCATCTTCTAGGTCTTAAGAACAAAGTCTGTGCACTTAATGCTCATTTCTCAAAAATCCCAAACCCTTTATTTGTGTTTCTTCAGTATCACAAAAGGAACAACATAGTGTCTCTAGTAATATTTCTTTAAATTCCTTTTTTTCTTGATTTCCTTGTTCCTCTCTCTGACAAACCCTAGACTCACTGAAGCCTCAAGTCTCCAGAGTTTGCATTTCTCAGTGTAAAAGAGACTTTTGTTGTTAATGGGTTTTGGTTTGTTTGTCTTAGTGAGGATTTAGAAAATACTGTCTATCTTAATTTTTCACATAATGAGTCATATAAGGTGGTAGGTTGCTTACTTTTTTGACTTATTTTTATTCTGCTAGTCTCAGTGACATGAGCTTGCGGTGGTGAACCACAGCCATATGTAGCAGATACTATTGGTACACTGCCAGTACCTCCATTACCTTACTATTTCAGTGCACACTAGCTTGACTTCCAATGGCAGCTCTTGTCTCTCTGGCCACAAAGGCAATGCTGCTCTCTCATATAGCATACCTGAAGAGCTAGGGACTTCATAATCTCTGAAATGAACCCCCAATCATTGATTGAGGTGAGTTGGTGTTCAAACAACCTAGTTCATTTGTCCCTTTGGTGGAATAGGTTATTCCAAGGCATGTGTTCCACATTGTTTCCTAATGTTTGTTCCCCAGGAAGATTAAGCTCCAATCACCCCTTGTAGTGATGTGTTTGATAGTGTACTTTTTTTCTTCTTTTTTGGTCTGTCTTCCCTTCCCTATTCTCCTACGGGTGTTTCCTGCAATTACCTTTCAAATAAACTACTTGCACTGGAATACCTCTCTCAGGATGTACTTCTGGGAGAACTCAAACTAAGAGATCATCTCTAGGTGATTATTAAGTCGCAGATCAGATCTCCCTGCTGATTGTTTTGGCACTTGCATGTCCTAGGTCTAAGGCAAATGCATGTCTTAATGCTCATGAATGTATGTATTGTTGAAGATCATAGCTGACCTTCCACTCAGCAGACAGTAGAAGTAATACCTATATGCTCATACTAGAGTACCCAACAATGATTTAATAATCATTACATACCACTGTTTAGATTTTGAGTATGTTTATGACATTTGCCTTTTGATTACTAAGTAGTAGATATAATGATTATAGGCTGATATTTTCTCAGGAGGAGTCTAGTTGTTGCACTTTCCAGTTTCATATGGCTCAGTGATTTCTTCTGCATTCTGTCTAGCTGCTGACACATGTGTTGAAATCTCTCATGCCGCTCAGCTTGAGAAAAGCTGGGGCTGCTGAGCCGAATGTGCGTAAAAGCTAAAAAGAACTGTCGTATTACATGAAACAACCCTAAATTGACAGAAGATTATGGTAGGAAGACTGATCAGGAATTTTAATCCCTGTGCACAAAACTAGTCTGTACACATATTGATCACATTCCTGGTGTTTTATCAGTAATTGTTTTCAATTTTACCTAGTTCTTCACAATTATGTAATATTTTAGGTGGTCCTGGTGTCTGTGTGGTAGTGACCTCTAAAATGATTATAATCCACTGCGACCTTCTCCGAAAGTCATGCTTCCTAGGACATCAGCACTTTATACCAGGACATTTTACAGGACACCCTTGATATTCTCTGTGGGGGTCAAATATCAGAAAGGATGAGAGATCTAAGACTTGGTGTAATCACTCCCACATATTGAAGCAAAACCAAAAGAAAAAAGAGAAAAGAAAAGGAAAGTGCACAAAGAAAAGTAGGGACATATCTTAGTGTTTGTCCAGTGTAATTGCTCTTTGTTTCTTCCTTTGAAATGTAAAATAAGCTTCACAAATATCTCATTTTCCTTGGTACTAGGCTTTGGAAGGGAGGAGGCAATTTTGAAGAAGTGAGCTCACTGTCAGAAGTGACATGGTGTACTACAAGAGCCTGAAGGCCAGGATTCCAGTACCTGCTTATAAGTTGTACAACTTTGTGAAAATTATTTAGCTGCTCTGCAATCTTCAATTGCATTTATTGCAGAATTAAGTTTACCTCTCATACCCGACTAAGCCAGAAGCATCTTAAGGTTAGGAACTCATTTTGATTCAGTGATTTCTCTAGTACCCACATGGCATTTTGCACAAACTATATTAGGAGAATGATTTTGAATTAAAAAAAAAGAAAAAGCACAAGGGCTCCATGGTGGTAAGAGCTGGATTTAATTGATATGCAGCAAAGACAGAATAGAGAATAATTCATTCCATTATTCAAGGTACATTTACTGAATGCCTACTATATATACTAATATAATATATAGCTTTACATGTATATATATTATACTATACATGATATATATTTCTAGGTGCTAGAAATACTGCAGTGACCAGAAAATCCACATCTGCATAGATCTTTTATTTTAGTAGGTAAGAGGATAAAGATAAAAAAAAATATAGACAATGCTTGGTAGTGACAAGTGCTAAGGAGAAAAATTATATAAAAAGTGGAGAAAGGACGGGTGTGGAACCTGTGGTGCAACTTTACTAAGAAAACAAGGGAAACCCAAGTGTAGTAAACTGAATCAGGGAAGGGCCTGTGAGTCTCTGTTCTGACAGAAACATAAACAAAGGAAGGTATGGTTTGGGAAGAAAGAAGGAAGTAAAACGCATCATATCTTAATTCTGTTACTTTTTCAATTCGAAAAAAAATACAAAGATTGTGAGGTTTAAGACAAAAATTCCTCTCTAGGGGAATTCTCACTTCAGCTTCTCTGGAGAGACAGTGTTTTCCGCCCCCGAACAGCCTCTGATTCGCTGGGTGGAGGCGCTACTCTGTGCCTATTGGCCCTCATGCCTGTCCCCCAGAAGGACGGCCATCTCGAGTCCGCTCCCACCGCGGGACCTTGTGGGAATTGTAGTCACCACTCTGCTCTGACTGGTCGCTGGAGTTTTTGCCCTCTGTTCCCGGGCCCCTCAGGCAGCACCCCCGGTGGGCACACGCTCAGGCACTGCTTCTGTCCCGCGCTCCCTCCCTCTGTCTGTCACTTCCCAGCTGCCAAGATCTTGGAAGGTAGGGGCGGCGGGGCAAGCACAAGTGGAACAGTGTTTCTGGGGCTTGGGTATGGGTTGCACGCGCGCGTCCTGTCACCACCACCTAGGCTGCCCAGTGGGGCGGAGCTGGGCCCGCGCAGCTTGTTGGGAGGTGGGGGTGTGTCAGGAAGACCCTCACCTCCCACCCCCAGACCACTCTCGGACCTTTTCAGAGCCAGTTACTGAGCAACGGCCCAAACTCTAACCTGCCCTGCCTCCGCTGCATTTTGTAAGTGGGTAAACTGAGGCACGCCACGCCAGTTTTCCCAGGATGCCTCAGTTCCCGGCCCCGGTGGTGTAGTTGGTACTGGCCGCTTCTGGATGGTTTCTTAGTTTCATAGACAAGTAGCAGGGATCTCTGCCCCAACGTACCTGTGTGAAACAGCCAGCTCTGGGCTCCCCAAAGGGAGGGTAGGGTTGAACACATACTCGGGACTGGAACCGAGCAGGGTACTGGAAAGGCAGTATTTCAGGAGAGAATTTCACACTTAATTTTCAAAAAACTGAAAGCATCGGACTCGTTATTGTGGGAGAAGTCATTCAGTAGTCTGTTGGACTTCCTTATACCTATTTCATAACTTAATGTTTTCATGTGAAAATATTCAAGGATTAAAAGGTATATTCACCTGGGACACTGGAGGAGAAGGGGGCCCGTTACTGGAATTGGAGCTGGACTTAAGCTTTCTCTATAGGATCAAATTATGCCTCTGCTGTGTGTCCTGGGACCAGCCTCTCACAGTGCTTATCTGGGAAGAAAGAACTTAAGGCTCCCTGTTCATGTGGCACAAAGATGCTACCTGGAGCCAAAATCTAAATGAGGTCTTGCTTGTGAAAGATTGCCGCCTGCATTATTCTGAGGTCTCTCAGACACGTGCGATTGTTTCAGAAAGTCTTGGACCAAAGTCCAGTCTGGGACTAGGGAGGGCCGCTGCGTCTCTCACCTCGCGGCGGAGGCTTCTGGGAGTTTGAGTCCAGTCTCAGGTAGGGGGGTGGGGTGGGCTTGTACTCCACCTCCCAACGTGCCATTTCGTGCTTCGAGGTGTCTCCTGGGAGATGAAGTCTCACCTCCAGGGGTTCTGTGTAGCAGCCCTTGACTCGCAAATACGTTAAGCGGCCCTGTGTTGTCTGCTGCTAGCCTTTGGGTACACCCGCTGTGAGCTGGAACCAGAGAGATATGTTTAGTGAAGATGTCTTTTGTTGTTGTCATTGACTGAATATGCTGTTCCAAGTACTAGATAGGGGATTATTGTATACATTTTCCCCTGTATTAGGGATTAGGCATGTTTTCAAACACAGCTAACAGTTGACAGTGTAAATTACAAAGCATGTTCATATTATCTCTTAATAACATTGTATTTCCCATTTGCAGATGAGGAAAAATACTTGAGAAGATGATTTATCCAGGGTTACACACGTAGTAATAAAAGGAAACATTTAACAAGTAAATAAATATATATTTACATATAAAATATAGAAATATAATACTTTATTATATATAAACATACATATTCTTATAGAATATATATTTCTACATTATATGTACTCATATATCACATATGAATATATAATGCATTCATATAATATAAATATATTTCTATAATTATGAATAAAATCATATATAAATATAATATATGAATATATAATTATATTAATATGTAATATAAACATACAATTATTTATATCATGTATAAATACATATTTTAATATATACATATACTTAATATAAATATATAGTATGTGTAAATATATTATATATATGATATATAATATATATTTATACTTTAGTTATTGTAGTTAATTTAATACTCTCAAAAGCTATATGCAAGATATAACCATTTTCATATGCACTTTATTTTTTATTATTAAAAATTTTTAATTTAATTTCATTTTTTAAAGTATTTTTATTGATTATGCTATTACAATTTTCCCAATTTTTCCCCCTTCATCTCCCCTCCACCCTGTCCACCCAACCCTCCCGCATTCCTCCCCCTTAGTTCATGTCCACGGGTCGTACATATAAGTTCTTTGAGTCCTCTGTTTCCTATACTATTTTTATCTTTCCCCATCTATTTTATGCCTAGTAATTATGATTCTTCTTTCCTGTTCCTTTTCTCCTCTATTCTTCATTTCTTCCTCCCCTCTGAAATCCCTCTCTGTGATGTCCATTTCTCTGATTCTGTTCCTGTTCTAGTTGTTTGCTTAGTTTTTGTTTTCATTGTTTTTCTTTTCTTTTAGGTTCATTTGTTGGTAGTTGTGTTTGTTGTCATTTTACTGTTCATGCTTTTGATCTTCTTTTTCTTAGATAAGTTCCTTTAACATTTCATATAATAAGGGCTTGGTGAAGATGAACTCCTTTAACCTGACCTTATCTGGGAAGCACTATATCTGCCCTTCCATTCTAAGTGATAGCTTTGCTGGATAGAGCAATCTTAGATATAGGTCCTTGCCTTTCATGACTTCAAATACTTCTTTCCAGCCCTTTGTTGCCTGCAAGATTTCTTTTGAGAAATCAGCTGATAGCCTTATGGGAACTCCTTAGTAGGTAATCTCTCCTTTCTTCTTGCTTCTTTTAGGATTCTCTCTTTATCTTTAATCTTGGGTAACATAATGATGATGTGCCTTGGTGTGTTCCTCTTTGGGTCCAACTTTTTTGGGACTCTCTGGGCTTCTTGGAAGTCTGTTTCCTTTGCCAGATTGGAGAAGTTTTCCTTCATTATTTGTTCAAATAAGTTTTCCATTTTTTGCTGTTGTTCTTCTCCTCCTGGCACTCCTCTAATTCAGATAGTGTTTCAGGTTGTCCCAGAGGTTTGTAAGACTCTTCACTTTTTTGAATTCTTGTTTCTAATTTATTTTGTTCCAGTTGGATGTTTATTTTTTCCTTTTGTTCCAAATCATCGCTTTGACTCCTGTTTTCCTTCCTGTCACTGTTAGTTCCCTGAATATTTCGCTTTATTTGACTTTGGGTGTCCTTCATTTGTTTTATTCATTTTTTTGACCAAGCTCAATTAGTTCTGTGAGCATTTTGACTACCAGGGCTTTAAATTCTCCATTAGATAGGTTGGCTGTCTCCTCACTGCTTAGTTCTCTTTCTCAGGTTTTGCTCTGTTCTCTCATTTGGGCCATATTTCTTTGTCTTGGCACAGCTGATAGGTTGTAAGGGGGCAGGGCCTTAGCTATTCACCTGGGCAGGGCAACCCTCCTTGCTGCACTGCCTTGGTGCCTGTTGGGGAGGGGCCAGAGAGGGAATGGTGTGGCTTGCCTGCTTGTCTCTAGCCCCACTTTCCAATGAACTCTTGTGTGATACTGGGAGTTTCTCCCACCATGGCACCCACTGTAGTCCACAGCCACCTCTGAGTCTCAGTTTTGCCTTCAGTCAGCCCTGCCCATGCAGCCTGCCACCTCACCATGGTTTTCTGAGTTGGCCTGTGAGGTTCGCCACCTTACCTATCTGGGTGTTCTGGTTGATATTTTCTTTAATTCCTTGGTTGTCAGAGTTCCATGCAATTTGATTTTCTGGCACTTTTGTTGTTTATTGATTTTAGATTGGTCGTTATCCTCCTTTTGTTTGTGCAAGGAAATGAAGAGTTTCTACCTATGCCTCCATCTTGGCTGGAACTATGCATTTTATGTGTTAGAAAACTAGGACAGTTAATCAGTGTGTTCAAGTTAACTTGGCTTACTGAATAGAAGTGCTGAGATTGTAACCCAGTCTACTTGACAGTCTGTGCTTAGAAGAATTTACCTTACAGAGTGAGAGGGAACCCAGCCTTTCTGAGTACAGGATTTGGAATCTTTCCATTATACAATGTCGCTTCTAGTTAGACACTAAACATTAGAGCAGCAAAAACCTTGGACATCATTTAAATCCTGGCATTTAGTAAATGTTCCACAAATGTTATATAGCTTTTTATACCTTTGTTTTATTTTAATTAAAAAATTATCGGTTGATTTTAGAGAGAGAGAGAGAGGAAGGGAGACATAGAGAAACATTGATTTGTTGTTCCTCTTATTTATGCATTCATTGGTTGATTCTTGTATGTTTCCTGACCAGGGATCAAACACACAACCTTGGTGTACTGGGACAATGTTCTAACAAACTGAGCTACTCTGCCAAGGCCTTTATTACCTTTAATACCTTTATTACAGAGGTGAAGAAACTGGCTTAGGTGGTAAAACAGTTTGTCATATGGTTGGTTTGAGTCACAGATGAGACTAAACCAAAATATCTAATTTTCAAGTCCAGGATTCTTTTCATTCTATCAGCAGTCAGCTTAGCAGGAACACCAGATGTGAAGCTGTTTAGATAATGATTTCTCTCCTAATTTGTTTTCTCTAGGCCACAGACCAGGACCAATTGTTATAAAGTATCTTTTCTTATTATTGGTAAGGTTGTAGTATTTCATTAATTCAACACATTTGTTTGAACATGTTTAGATGCTTATCTCTCTTTAGCTACAGGGGCCTCCTGGATGAAATGTAGCTGGAAGGACCTTATAAATCATTGAATCTAACTCATTTCATAAATGAGAGGAGTGAGGTACAGAGTGGTGCATGGTCTTCATCTCAAGCACTTATGTCAAAAGTATCCTGTTTCTGCAAGGAGGCCAGATTTTGGAGGCCTCATAGTACTGTATGTGATCTTTAGGCTCATGATTTCTTCCACTTGGTAAGTTTGTCCTTGCATTATAGCTGTGCATGTTTGATGGAGTGCTTTAGGAAATGTTTCTGTGTCCCTATATCTTTGTATGCACACACAGTTTCAATATGCTCCATTTCTATTTTGGAAATTAGTCTTATTTTGGCTCCCAATACTTCTTCTCTTTTTTTCTTTCAGACACTTGAGAACAAAATATGACACTGTGTTTGCATTCACATACGTTAAAATCTAATACTCTAACATAGGATATCTGAAATGACCACGAGTTTTCTGAATTATACAAAAGTTTTTTCCTATTAGAAAATACATTGACCCTTTCAATT